ATGATAGCAGTGTTCCAATATCTCAGGGACTGCCCCAGAGAAGAGGGGGTCAACCTATTCTCCAAAGCACCTGAAGGCAGGACAAGAAGCAATGGATGAAAACTCATCAAAGAGAGAACCAACCTAGAATTTAGGAGAAAATTCCTAACGGTGAGAACCATTAATCAGTGGAATGGCTTGCCTCCATAAACTGTGGCTAATCCGTCACCTGAAGCTTTTAAGAAGAGATTTGACATCCATTTGTCCAGAATGGTATAGAGTGGCCTTGTCAGATCTGTGTCTCTGTCATTTCTTCAGTGGAAGAAGAAAAAAAAAGTGGGGGGGGGGGGGAGACTGATAGAAATCCTTTCTCGATGTTACCTGAATATATTTAATCTTATATCAAATTTGTATAACCTACACATGATACAATGGAGGGAGGAAACCCAGATGGCCGGAACCTATCACCTCTGAGAGACACAGCCAGGAGATGAGGACCATAAACATTCCACAGTGAGATGTGTCCTGGGAACCTCTGGAAAAGTTCGTTCTGAAAGGGGGTGGGGGGAAATTAGGTATGCCCTGGGAAACTGTGAAAAAGACCGTTCCTTTCAAAAAGGGGGGGGGGGAATTAACATACTGGCTTTTGTTTCACTAAATACACATCGAGATAAGGGGAGGGGTTTTGAACTCCCTTATCTCTCCCTGTATGCCTGGAGAGACCTTAGACACTGCTTTGAACTCCTATATGAATTGTCTCATCTCAATAAAGGATTCCTTTTGATATGTTTGATTTTCAGAAGTTAATTCTTGTTAATTGAATGGGAAAAAGTTCTGTAGCCTGACATAAAGCAGCGTCTGCAATAGTGGTCAGCCTGGAGAGAAATTTTGTTTTTAAGAAAACAAAAAAGAAAGAAAACCTTTCACTCTACCGAGGGGATCCTGCAAAAGAAGAAAAATGTCTGAATACAGCAAGGAGCAAGGGGGAGCCGAATGCTGGGGAGAAACGTCGACACTAACCCAGCCAGATGCTGACTTGGTGCACCCCATTGAAGACAGCAAAGCTGCCTGCGAAACCTCCACTAAGCCCCAGTGGTCTATAGGTGTAGGAAAAAGAGACAGCTGGGATGGAAGAACCAGAGGAGTAACCTTCACCCGGGGTAATCATAAACCCGGGTGGAAATTGGAACTGGAGGCCCTATTGGCTCAGGAAGAATGGGGCGAGGAGCCACCGGCTGATGACCGAATGAGACGGTACATAAATCACCTCATGAAGGAAGCCAAGGAGAACCTCCAGGTGAGGGATGCACCAGGATGACAACGCAGGAGAGCGAGGGAACCAGAAAATGAGAGAATCTCATTTCCAGTGGAAATTGACCAGGCAGAGGGACAAGCCGAAGAACCAGCAGCCATACCAGGTACCTGTCCCTTAAACACCCTGGATCAGGGGATTAACCCTGGCCAACCCAGAGACATACAACTGCAGAGGAAGATCCCGCCCTTGGGGATAAAATTCGATGGAGACCCCCAGAAACTGGGATTTTTCCTGGTGCAAGTGCTCACCTACTTGCAAGAATATGGGCGGAATTTCCCAACCCAGGGGTCCCGAGTATGAGTCATCACCCTGGCCCTTGAAGGGGCAGCAGCCAGATGGATGGTGACGCTCCACAACGTCAACAACCCAGAATTAAGGAACCCCGATCGCTTCATGATGGCCTTATGGCACCGTTTTGAGGACCCCCTCGCCGATAGAAAAGCCCGCGACCGCATTAAGAGTCGTAAAACAAGGCCATCGCCCGGTAGCAGAATACACCGAGGAATTTTGTGACCTGGCCAGGCGGGTAGACTGGCCAGAGGATATCCTAGTCTGTTGGTTCAAAGATGGACTAAATGATGACCTATACGCTGCCTGCCTGGCCCGTGGGGCCCCAAACCTGTTGCATGAATGGTACATGATGGCAGAGGAAGCGGAAATAGACATGACTCGAAACCAGCACCGCACTGGCAAGTTTTGGAAAAGGTCCCCACCCCAGGGGAAATGGGAAGTCTTCAAACCCCAATCCACCATGACTCCAAGAATGCCTGGTTGCTTTAAGTGTGGAAAGGAGGGACACTGCTCAGCAGAATGCCTTTTGAAGACCCCTGCAAGAAAGCTACACCACCTATCAGGGGGGAAACCTGGAACATCCAGCCCTCAAGGAAAGGAGACTGGCCTGAGGGGCCGAGTAGCTGTGGGACTCTGATCCCCCCACAACACTTGTTTACTCAATGATGGACTGGCTTGGGTAGAAAACACACTTTATGTCCCTGCAAGCCAGAGAATGGACCTCATGAAACACTGCCACAACTCCAAAATAGTGGGACACTTTGGGTTTGTAAAAACCTTGCACCTCATCAAAAGACAATTATGGTAGCCGTCCATCAAAAAGAACATTGAAAATATGTTGCGAGCTACCTCACTTGTGCTGCTTGCAAAGAGAAGACAAGGAGAATATCCTGGACTTTTACAAACAGTAGCAAACCCTTCTGCACCCTGGAAAGAGATCTCTGTGGACTTTGTAGTGGAGCTTCCTGAAAGTGCTGGAAATACTGTCATTTGGGTTGTAACTGATCTTTTTTCCAGATAGGTTCATTTTATTCCATGCAAAAAGATCCCAATTGCCAAGGCATTGGCAAAGATGTTCTTAATACACATTTATCACCTTCATGGAACTCCCCAATGGATTATCTCAGATAGGAGTGTTCAGTTCACATCCAAATTTTGGCGGGTGTTTTAAATCTATTAGGCTCCACCCAGGGGTTGTCATCATCAAGTCACCCAGAAACAGATGGATCAACAGAGTTAACAGCGTATTAAAACAATATTTAAGATGCTATATAATTACCAACCGGACACTTAGACTGACCTACTTCCTTTTGCAGAGGTAGCATACAATAACTCAGTCCATAGTAGCATGGGGTTCACCCCATTCCAGGTAGCCACAAGCCAAGAATTCAACCCCATCCTGGAACTACCCAACGAAGATCCTGAAATCCCCTCTCTTAAGGAGTGGATAAATAACTTCCAAGCCATGTGGCCAGTGGTAAGATTATCTTTGCAGGAAGCTAGAGCCATTTTCAAAGCTCAAGCAGGCAAAAAATGCTGCGATCCTAAACCTTTCAAGATTGGGGACCGTGTATATTTGTCCACAAAATTCTTAAAATCATTACAACCCTCTAAGAAACTTGGGCCAATATTCATTGGCCCATTCCCCATCTCCAGAATTATTAACCCCGTGACAGTAGGGCTTCGACTTCCAAAAACACATAGGCAGATTCATCCAGTATTTCACTGTAGCTTGATCAAACCGGAGATCACTTCAAACCTCAGACCCTCCCACCCACCTCCAACCCACATCATGGTACATGGGGAACAACATTCTGAAATTAAAGATATCCTTGATTCACGCATTCACCGTGGATCCACACAATATTCAGTAGCTTGGAAACACCTTCCTTCCTCAGAAAACGAGTGGACAGCTAAATGACACGTAAAAGCACCCACATTACTACGAAAGTTCCACCTAAAATACCCTGATTTGCAATCCTGAATTGCAAATGTAGTGCATGATTTTTGTTTTTTCCAGGTAGACCTGGTTTTTAAGGAGGGCAGGATGTCAGATCCTTGTATTTGTCATTTCTTAAGTGGAAGAAGGGGGGGGGGGAGGAGACTGATAGAAATCCTTGATGTAACCTGAATATATTTAATCTTCTATCAAATTTGTATAACCTACATATGACACAATGGAGGGAGGAAACTCAAATGGCCGGAACCTATCACCTCTGAGAGGCACAGCCAGGAGATGAGAAGACCATAAAAATTCCACAGTGAGATGTGTCCTGGGAACCTCTGGAAAAGTTCGTTCTGAAAGGGGGTGGGGGGAAATTAGGTATGCCCTGGGAAACTGTGAAAAAGATCGTTCCTTACAAAAGGGGTGGTGGGGGGAATTAACATACTGGCTTTTTTTTCACTAAATACACATCGAGATAAGGGGAGGGGTTTTGAACTCCCTTATCTCTCCCGGTATGCCTGGAGAGACATTAGAGAATGAATTGTCTCATCTCAGTAAAGAATTCCTTTTGATATGTTTGGTTTTCAGAAGTTCATTTTTGTTAATTGAATGGGAAAAAGTTCTGTAGCCTGACAGTCCTGCTTCTGCAGCGGGTTGGACTAGAAAACCTCCAAAGTCCTTTCCAATTCTGTTACTCTGATGGCACAAAGCTGGGGAAGTCGAAAAACCTAACAAGGTAAATATATCGGCTTGAGCATTTCCAGGTTTTTCTTAATCTCACATTACTATTTATTGAAAACAAAAGCCAGTTTTGTGAAATAAAACCCCTGAGATATATAATAGGTTCTTTGCAAAAAAAGAGCCTGCTCCAATTTCTTAGGCTGAATTCAGCCAAGTCTTTCAGTATTTTTATATGGACTACTCAGGAAAAAAAATAAGCTTGACAGTCAGATATAAACTCCCATGTTCTGATGAAAGAATGGAATATTTTTGACTCATACATTGAGGGTCTTCATTTCAAATTTTAAAAAAGAAACTAAGGCTGTCTGGGAAGATGAAGAAAAAAACCTGTTTTGCACTGATCACAGGAACAAGGGTGCCACCGGATTTGTCATCTGCTGATGGGACATGGCTGAGTACCGCAGGAAGAGGACAGTGAATAATGCTTTTGGTTAAATCCAATCTGGTGGATCTCCTTCCTCAGACTCTAAGAATGGTAGAACAATCCCTGCTAATGTTTAGACAACTGGAACAATAATATCTAACACAACAGTCTCTGAAAGTGACAATTTTAAGACTTGTAGACTTCAACTCCCAGAATCTATGCTAGCTGAAGAATTTTGAGTGTTGAAGTCCACAAATCTTAAAATTGACAAGTTTGGAGATCTAACATCTTTACTACACCTTAACCATGTACATGAAGTTTAAAAAAGAGGATGTGTGCATATTTGCAGATGTAGATGAAAAGTTGGTGTTCAAAGTTTTATTATCTTTAAGATTTGTTCCTCGGTTTGAGTTTCTCCACCCATCGACAGAAGGCATGTCCAGTTCAGCTTGGGGTCTCCTTTGGCTGAGCCTGTTCCTTTATTCCTTCATCTTCCTTTTCCATCTGCTTCAATCTTTCCAGAGCTCTTAGCTTTTGCTTCTCTTTGTAGATCTGAATATTAATGGGAAGGAGAGATTTAATTGGGAATTTAGCTCCTTTCACCCTGGAAAAATAAGTTTTTGCTTCTGCTGCCACTGTACATGGAATGTTACCATTACTATGTCTACAACTGCTACAATGAGACAGTAAGGACCAAGCCATAGTCTGCCTGATTTTATCTGAATGTGAAACATGAAACCAACAGCACTCAACCCACCAGCTCGCTGCTGCTGAGGTTGTACTTCTTCGCAAGCCACTTAGGCTTTCCTACTTTTACATGCTATCCTTACCCGCCCAACACTGGGGACAGAAATGCTGTTCACTTATTGGACAGGATCCTTATCAAACACGGCTTTCCAAGCCTTTCCTTATCTGAAGCAGGGGTGGGTTTCTACGGGTTCTGTCCACCTCTGTAGAACCAGTAGCTCTGAAGAGCAGCAGACATAGAACCGGTTCTATGTCTGCTGATGTTTTTGCCCACCCACCCACCTGGGCTCTTACCTGATCTTTATTTCCTGATTTTTCAACTTCAGCTGCCGAATGAGGCACAGCTGCAGTTAAAAAAGCAGGAAAAGAGGGCTGTTTCAAAGGCTGCTTCTCTGAATGCAGACTGCTGATGACGATTTACAGGCGCGTGGCTCCCAGCATGCAGGGAAGCTTGTAAATCCTGAACCGGTAGTTAACCCTGTCGTATCCTACCCCTGATCTGAAGCCTATGCAGAAGAGCACAACATGCCTATCTCAAGCCAATTCTCTACACTAGAGAAGCTGCTCTTACCCAGGCTGTTCCTGTAGGTCACCTTGGGCCAGCCATTCTTAACCTACCATGTCTCGAAATTCCTTCTTGACAGCTGCGCGCCGTGTGATTTTCCGCCGGTATTGTGGAGGAGGCAAGTACTCGATTTCCAGCTGCTTGCATGTGTTCTCAAAGGTATCATAGCGGGTATTACGTAGATATTTCAGCAACACAGTCCGCCGATCAGTGGCTATCATCATGCGGGTAAGGTTAACCTTGTCCTAGAAAGTTGTAGCCTCTTCAGTGAAACATCCATAGATCCAAGTATTTTAATTTTTCAACTTTCTGGATATTAACTTACTGACATTTAAATAAATTTTCAAGTTTACTGAAAGGCAGCAATAACTTGCTAGAAGGAAAATATTTTTGGACTGGGGAATAAGGATTATTATTTATTACACAGTGATCTCTGAGAAGAAAAACAGTATTAAAAATATACTTTTGTGCTTCTCAGAATTGGAACTAAAGCATGTATCGTCTAGTTCAGGGGTCGCCAACCTTTTGGACCTCAGGGACCACCAAACTCATAATTTTAAATCCCAGGGACCACTAACCGGTTCTGTGGGTGTGGCCTAATTTGTGGATATGGCTTGGTGGTCATGTGAATGGCTGGGCATGGCTTGTATGTAAATATTATAAATATTTATATAAATATTGAATTTTTTATAAAAAAAGAGCAACTTTTATCCAAAATCAGGCAAAGCAGGCAGGCAGATAGAGTTGTTCACAGAATCACAGATTCATTCGGAGATCTATCTATCTGCCATTGGCTTGCTGAGTCTGTCACAGAAAATTTGCTTGCAAGTAAACTCACAAAACTAACTCACAAAACACCATGTATGTAAATATTGAATTTTTTATTTAAAAAGAGCAACTTTTACCCAAAATCAGGCAAAGCAGGCAGGCAGATTGAGTTGTTCACAGAATCATTCAGTGATCTATCTATCTGCCATCGGCTAGCTCAATCTGTCACATAAAATTTGCCATGAGTCTGCACTGAATAATAGAACCTTCAGTCCTAGGGAGGTTCAGCTGTGCTTAAAAGCAGAGCCGAAGATCTAAAGACTAACTAGAAAGCAAGAAATCCAACCATTTCCTGCTTCCTAGCTAATCTAAATCTCCCAGCACAGCAGAACAGATGATGGTCGGAAAAAGGAAACGTAGCAATTTAGCAGGCAAGTTTGCCGGATAAGGAGTGAGTGGGCGGGGAGGGTTCCTGCGGGCCATTTGGGCAGCAAAGCCTTGTGTTTCTGCACAGCCTGGATTAATTGTCTTGGGTGGGTGCTCTGGGGGTGAGATTTCTCTGCGACTCACCAAAATTTTCTCATGGCCCACCAATGGGCCACGGCTCACCAGTTGGTGACTGCTGGTCTAGTTTATGGGATGCAGGCAATAGGATATTGGCTTGTAATGAAGTTTCTGGATTAGAAATCCTGCCATAATGTGCTAGAACTGACCAGGAGTTAGCAGGGAACACTGTTACTATGTGGCATAGTAACAATTCAGGCTGGTAACCTGAACTCTACCTTCTCCATAGTAGTGGGCAATATCAATATATCTATTTGTTGATGACTTTGGTATTGGAAAACTGAAATTTGGAATGCCAGAGGAATGCATGCAAAGAGCATGAATAATCAAGTGAAATGACCAAAAGAAAATTAGTTTTTGGTAGCATCAAGAATGGATTTTGGTGGAAATTGGATATGAAAGGGGAAAAAAACCCAAAAGAAGTTGGAGTGAAGGAAGAATAAATGTAGGGGAAAAAGTCTGAATCCTGAATAATATTAGAAGACAGATTACTCTCACAATAGAATGAATGGAGAAAGGACAGGAAAGCTGCTTGGAAACAAGTAAAAAAAAATAACGTTATGGAATCCCATGGTTATAATAACAGAATCTATGAAAAAATATCCTTAGTGAAATGACAAAATGAAAATAAGCCTACAGAGGCGGCCAGTTATAAAAAATTGAAAATGAATGAAAAAGACTGAACAATGTGTATGGACAAAAAAAAAACCCAGCTGCTAAGAAAGAGGCCCAAGAGTATAAAAATGGCATCAGAAGAAGTTAAGGGGGGGGGGGATTTTGATGGAACTTTTTAAAAAAGTTTGGGGCAAAACAGGGCTGTTCCAGAACAATGAATAGAATTAAATAATAATAAAAGGAATAAATTGATTTATGAATGTTGCAGCAGCAGCAGCAGCAGCCATTCACCCGTACGACCAACCGCACAGACACTGCAATAGTCCCCCTGACTTAGAAGACCCGGTTTACAGAGGTTACATAAAGCAAGCAGCTTTGAAGACTCATACCTTGGGGTGCATATGCAGATGTTCTTTGAGGGTGAGGATCATGGCTGTCAAGTAGGCAACTAGAACATTAAGAAAAAAAAACAGAAAAGCTTGTTATGCTAAGCTCTTCTCCTATTTTAAAGAGTATATGTGAACATTAACAGCCAGGCAGACTTTTAAGAGGTGGAATTTCTTCTTGGTGAAAGTGAGTTCAGTGTTACATGTGGGAATACTGTTGTTCTGAACACTGCTGTTTCTGTGTTCTGTTGAAAGAAGGCAGAGTGACTCTGTGGAGAGAGGTGTGAAACAGGAAGTAGGACCATTTCAGCAGAATAGCAACAGCCCTTAGACTTACGTGCCACTTCACCGTGCTTTCCGGCCCTCTCTAAGCGGTTTACAGAGTCAGCTTCTTACCTCCAATGATAAGCCGGGTCCTCATTTTACCCTCCACCTTGGAAGGATAGAAGGCTGAGTCAACCTTGAACCTGGTGAGGTTGAACAGCCAAATTGCTGGTGGCTGGCAAGCAGCAGCAGCAGCAGGAGCCCTGAAATGCTGCATTCTAACCACAGCTCCTTCTAATCGGCACTACTGGGCACCTCAATTATTTCTAGTCCAACCAATCATCATAAGTGCAATATTCTTTCTTTATACTCTTCTCTCATTCCTTTTGCTTTGATGTTGCACTTCTTTCTAATACAAAACGTCTGTAGATATTTGTATAATTATGATTGATCTTTTTTAAATTAGATTTTATATCCCTCTTAACAACATTTGTGCAAGATGATGCACACAATGCTCCCACCTCCTATTTGCCCTAATCTAGATCAATAACCCTGTGAGGTAGATTGGGCTGAGAAAGTCTGGTTGTCCCAAAGTCACCCAGCTGGCTTTGTACCTAAAGAAAGACTTGGGATCTCCTGGCCTTTTAATCAGTGTTCTGAACTGACTGTTTTATATAAGTGTTCAGGAAACTGTTTTGGTTAAAGTTGAAAATAAACTCTTCACATCACCAGAGGCATAAATGGGTGGCTACTGCACCCCTCAGAGGGCAAACAGCCTCCATCTCCTTTGACTTCATCCTTTCAAAGATCTGTGAATCAGGCACCACATTTCCCTGCCAGAGACCACAGCAGAAAAGGACAGCAATTCCTCTGCTCCTGGATAAATAGTGAAATAATTGTTGAATATAATTTAGATTTGCTTGAGAAGAGGAGAGGGAAGAAGCATTCATCTTGGATGTCATGCCAAATGCCTGCCAGGGTGGTGCGCAAGGCACCGAGTCTTACAAGAAATGAAGAAACTGACACCCACCCACACCCTAAACTGTAGGGAAAACTCAGGTTAGTCTTCTGCTCAAAAGGCAAAGGTCAAAGAAAGCTTTCTTAAGACAACAACTTGTTGGATAGTAATTCTATGCAGTGTTACCATTTGTGCAGCAGGATTTAGTCAAGGTTTGACTTTCACAAGTCTTTTCCTGCTCTACTCTGGAGTTATTGCCTCAGCGGGATGTTGAAACCTGCACTGAAGCTACAGGAAACAAACTCACTCTTTCGCCACCTCCCGGGCCATCCAGTCTACCCCATTGTTCCAGTGGCTGCCCCGGCTCTGCCTGAAGCCCCCTACCTGCCCCGGTGAAGGAGATGCTGCCATCTTGCTGGGTCATAGGCTCCACTATCCAATTCCTCTTTCCAAAAAAAAGTCCTTAGCAGTTCCTAGCAATTCAACCGGAATTTGCCTTGCTTTAACTTAAAATATATTATTTAATGAATATGTTTGTTATTGAATTTATGGCCAAGTACCAAAGAGCAGTCTAGTTACAAAACAGGTCTTGACCACCTGGGTGATACCGTTTCAGGTCTATGAAATGGGCTGTAAGGGTAACCTTGAGGAGCAGCAGAGGCACAAAGCAAGAGGGAAAAAAACTGAAGTCCAAGGCAGAACTTTCACCCGAGAAAGCATCCGAGAAAAAGATTCTCTTTAGTTCTGATGAAGATGGGGAGGGGGCGTATTGAGATTGGCAAGATTCTGTGATTTCACAATAAAAGCTGCACCCACCATTTTGGTTTCCTATGCTGGTCTGGCTCAAAGAGCTGAGAGGACAGGATGGCATTCCCCCACCCTTGAACGATCGTCCCTTTAATCTGTCTTCATGAGATTAAGCTTCTACCTCCTAGCATTCTTGTTGCCCTTCTCTGAACCTGAAAGGGCTTTTTTTAAAACAAAAATGTACCCAGAATGTGAGGTTTGAATGAGTGCAATTAAAGCAGAACACCATGTGATTCTTCCTTCTTGTGTTCTGGAAACTATATTTTTATTGATGCTACCTAAACTGATTTTATGGCCACAAATCTGACTCATCTAGGTTATGGTCACCTGCACCTGCAGAGTATTTTTCCCCTGCAGTTACTGCCAGGTCTCCTTTCTCCATCCTTATTCCAATGCATCCTGCAAGAGCTTGCATTTGTCTGTTTTAATGCAAACATACATTCTGTTGTGGCCTCCCAGCAACCAGCGGAGCTGGCAGCAGATTCGAACAGTGAGGAGGTTGGGGAGGAACCTGGGCCAGTCCTGGAGTCTGGAGAAGGCTCTGATGAGGGCTCTGCATTGGAGGCAGAGACAGGGCCAGGGCCATCTGACAGTTATCAGCTGCCTTTGGAGTTGGGCATCAGTGAGGCAGAAGAACAGCTGGACCCTGTTCCCAGTGTGCGCATGTGCAGAGCTGCCAGGAGAAGGGAACAGCTAAGGAACAAAGGTCAACTTGGTAGTAAAGCTAATGGCCCCTCCCATAGGAAATAAAAGAGGAGTGAAAGGGGAGTGGGGTTTTGCAGGAGACAATTAGTTCATTTGGGTGAAGATCTGTTCCTGCATTCTTGCAAAGTATTGTCTGCTATAGTGTGGCATCTGAAAGACATCAGCCTGGCAATTCTCCAAGCCTGATAAAGGTCTGTAATTGTGGAATATCTTGAAAGACTATTGGTTGGGACTTTGCTGGAGGGGAATTCACTGTAAATAAAAGGGGTTTATCGGGAAGAGGAGTCAGCTTCGTGCTGTTGGGGAAGCCCATGTCAGAACACATTCTAATCCTGTTTCTCTAAAGATATCAATGTTTGTTTCAGATTTGTTTCCATTTGAGTATTAGCTGTTCAATCCAATTTTGAATGCCCTGAAAATGTAATAAGCATCATCATCCATGGGATTAATAAAAATGGCAATGACTGCAAGGCCAGGACCAAACTCTGCAGCTCTCTGCTTTGTCTCCTTCCAGTGAGGAGGAACACCAAGTACAATTTTCAAGTCCAACTTCTAGCCACTTCATGTCAACAGTGAAGAATGTGAGGGGCCTGGGGCAGCAATATTGGTTCCCCCAATGATTGTCAAGTTGTTTCTGCCCTCCCTCCCTTTCCATGTGCCTTCCTCCTGCAGATGGGTGCTGAGTGGAAGATGATGTCCATCCTAGATTGGAGTGGGCAATTCTTTGGTCAAGCTGCCCTCTCCTTCTAGAACCTCTAGGCAATCTCAAGACCCATTTGTAAGCTCCTACGTGATTACCCTGAATGACAAAAAGGATATTTTATCAAACATGTTTCTTTAACCAAGAGCCTTTCTACACTAAGGAGTGTTAATCAAAAACTGGTATGACATCAGCTTGGCAATATTTGTCACACCTATTTTATTTGTGATCTCAAAATGCATATATGACACACATTTCCTCCCCACATTAATCCTGTGTGGAAGGTTTGGCTGAAGGAGAATGGCTGCCCCATTGTCAGCCATGAGCTTCCATGATTGGGGTGGGTCAATCCAACACTTTAACATTCACCAGGTTTGTATGTGTGTTTTAATTATTATTTTTGAATGTATTAGTCACCTTACTTCAACAGACTGATGGCTTATCCATACTCACTTCTGGCAACTACTGCCTTGTTTTCAAGGCATATATAGCTCATAACTTTGTGATTTTATTCAAATCACCTGCATTCTCAACTTAGAGGCCATTAAAACATATGCATTCTCTTTAGTCATACATAGCAACTGAATCCAATCACATTGACAGAAGTATAGACCTTTTATATGAAAAGGAATGAGTCAACTTCCAGATGTATCCAACAATACTTCACATCTCAAAACAATTCCACAGACAAATACAGCTACGGTGGTAGTGATTTTTTCCTTCTGCTTGACCAGTTCCCCAGAACAATAAGAAATTGAAAATCAAAACTCTCCAGATCTCCACTAGGCCCTTCCAAAACACAACGAGGTGATGCCAACAGTCTCCCTGACAACCATGGAGCTAAGCGGGGTGGGTGGGGGGGGGGGGATAGCTTCCACTTCTCTGCCTACCTTGAACCTCTGCAGATCCACAGTCATTTGGGCTCCTGCGGACTTTGGCTGCCAACTGCTCTTTCTTCATCTTCACTTTTTCCCTCTACAGGCACAAGCAGACATTAGCGATACTTGGGGAATGGACGTTAACAGATAAAAAATTGCAACTGCAGTTTGTTGTACATTTCAGACAGTTTCTCCACAAATATGGTATATTAGTACTGCTCCATTTAGGGTTTCAGATGAAAAACCTGCCTCAAAGTTACTTCCTTACTGTAGAAGAAAGTGGGAATTTTGCTGTCATAGAATTCATAAAATCACGTAGGCACTGTTCACTCTTAATCACATCAGTTGCAACTGAGATTTGTAAAGCATGCTAAGATTCTTTTCATTCAAAAACTGTTGTGACTTGGTATCATTGTACTAACCAAGTTTATGATTAAGAAGAATCATACAAGCTCAGAAATGGGTGGATTTGGTCATCTGGTTAAGTATGTTCTGCCAACAGAGTCATGAAGGACATTGAAGGTTTCCAAACATCATGGCTGTTGGTTTACAGGCAATCCTTAGGTTACAAGAGCAACTGGGACCAGGGATTCTGTTGCTAAGCAATGCAGTTGCAAAGCATGTCACGTAATCACATCATTTAACAATGGCAATTCCAACAGTCTTGTCTGCTGTCATGAGGACTGCATAGATCATTAAGCAAGGATTTCATGTGATCATAACTTCCAACTTCTTGCCAGCTTTCCCACTGACTTTGCTTGTGGGAAACTAGCAGGGAACATTAGAATTTTTATTGATTATAGGGCTGTAAAGCACTATAAAGCGGTATATAAGTCTAAGTGCTATTGCTATATGCTGCCCATCTTACTATCCAAAGCAACTCTGAGTAGAAATAGTGATCTCGTGACTGTGGGAATACTGCAACAGCTGAAACATCGAGACCCACCAGAAATCCCTCTTGTTCAGCACAATTATAACTGAATGGTCTTGAATGATCATAATCTGAGGATTACCTGTATACTAATGCTAAATGGGATAACAACATGTAGAGTTGAAATACTGTTTCTCTTGAGAATACAATTTCTAGATACTTTGATTTAAAATGTTTTGCATTCCATGAATTAAAAAAGTACACACCTCTTGAGAAATTCAACTCAATGAACTGTACAATACTAAGCTTTTGGTTTAAACAAAGTAAAGACAGTACTGAAAGCAATTAATACTGATCACCCCATCAGGCACATGTGGCAGATTGTTTACAAAGGTAAATTACTGAACTCTCACAAGATAGTTAATAATGAAAAAGTCTTAAAAAGGAAATTCAGTGATCATTATATCAGCTGAGCTCAAAGAGACAGGAGATGAGGAAAACTCCTGCTTTTTCTTTAGTACAAAAGGAGAGAGAAAAAATGACAGATTCATATTCTATTATTATACCCTAACAATAAAACAGAGTTCTGGTAGCTCCTGTTCCCTGATCTAAGGTGATCTGAAGAGCTATCTGGTAGCAGTATTTGTTCCTAAATCCCAAACTTTCTATGAAAGGAAAACAAAAAACTAACCTGGCTTGCCATTTCCAGAGACAGTATTCTTCTGACATCATCATCCACCCTGCAGGAAAGCACAGAGTCTCCCTGGATGTATTATTTTTTAAAAAATCTCCTGAGAGTTTAGCATTTGCCACTGGCTTCAAATGGTTTTTAGGATACAGCAAAGAAAATTAAAAGTAACGCTGAAGGGACCATTCCGCTCCACCCCCCCACCCCCGAATATTAACAGTTCATATATATTAAGGATGGGTATTTTATGAGATTGTATCTTGGGAGCTTTTTTCTTCCAACTGTAAAATAAGGTAGGTGACAGAATTGTCACTAAGGGGCACTGGAAACTGTTTCTCTCTTCCCCCCCACACACCCATTTCCCACCAATCCCTGCAAATCTTACTTGTCTACAGCTGAGACATTAGCATAATTTTTCCTCAACATTGTATCAGGCAGATCATCCAGATGGCTGGGGATAGCTGAAAAGAAAGAAAGAAAAAGAATTGCTCTCCTGCTGTACACTTTTGTTCAGCAATTATTTTTCAATAATGGCCAAATAAATATCTGTAGATGCCCCCAAAATGGATTTTCAAGGTCCTTCTCAATTCCCTGATGGTAAAGCAAAAGAGAATTGTTACTGTGATCAGTTAAACCAAGTCATATGTAAATTTAGCTCTCCAAATGTGTCTATTGATATGAAAAGGGGGAGGTACCATTTTGCTCTTATCACCTTTTATTTTCCCATTTCAGTGGATCAGGGTTTGGGATTAACAGACAAATGTTCAAATCCATAGAAACAAAGCATCTCAGAAACCTGACTCTAAACCAACCATTGCTTATTTATGTTCTGTTCTTTCCACCCAGAAGGCACAATGAGAACCAAACTGAACAATTTATAATTCATACCTTCTTTTTTTTTCCGGACAGGCCTGGCATATTCTCTGACTATTTGGAGGAAAGGGATCTTCCCTGAAAAAACAAAAAGTGCAAAATCAGTTCAGAACACCAGGTGGGCAGCGCAGGATCGTCTTCTTGCTGGAATTCATGTAGTGACAAAAATTAACTTGACTCCCCCTTGATGTCTGGGGACATTAAGTGGCCTGCCCATCTAAGATTAGCACTATATCGAGAGCACTTTCCCCAGTTTTGAAGAGCCAGCTGGTTCTGCTCGTTGCCTGCGTTCAAGGACACGAGAGGAAGAAAAGAGGTTCACGTGCCAGGCGGCTGTTTGCTTTGAACCCCAGGGCAGGGTTTTCGAGGTATCTTTACGCACGATCGGAGTTTGTTTAACAAAGCGCTGTGTTCCCGGACACGCGAAACTGAAACAGGGCAGGGGAAGGTGTACCGTGTACGGCCAGATGTTATACGGTTCCTGCCCTCTTTTAGCCAGCCTACAGAGAGGCGCCCAGGAATGAGAACCCCAATGCAAAGACCTCCCTCTCTTCCTCACCCGGCCCTTGACCCGCCGCCGCCGCGGCGACGAGCTTGGGGTGGCTTCCCCCGGCGACCGCTGAGGCGCCACGCAGCACCAGCCGCAGCATCGCGCCGGTCACGGACTGGGCGCCGCCATCTTGCGCGTCAGAGGCCGCGCCAAGAGGCCTGAGTGCGGCGCGTAGGGAGGAGCCGGCGGGGTCGCGCATGCGCCTCGACTCAGCGATAGGCGGTGGGAGAGTGCTGGCGGATTAACGCTGCCCCGTTTCCGGAGATCAAGTGAAATCAGTTGGAAGGGACCTTGTAGGCCATCTAGTCCAACCCCCTGTTTAAACAGGAGACCCTACCTCCCCCATTTCTAACAGACGGCAGCCCAGTCTCTTCTTGAAAGCTTCCCGGGGTGAATCCAGTTCCCCCTCGCACCGTACATGGCATCGCTTCACGATCTGAACGGAGAGGTGTATCCTGCCTCTCGCCTGCCTTGTCAGAGTGGCTGAGAGCGAACACATTGCAGACAGTCCCAAAAGCGTTGCTTCCTTTCCTTTCAGATGGAAAAACGGAGTCGGCCGGGGGCTGAGCTGTAGCACTCGGGACAGTGGTGGAATTCAATTTTTTTTTACTACCGGTTCTGTGGGCGTGGCTTGTTTGGTGGGCGTGGCTTGGTGGTCATGTGACTGGGTGGGTGTGGCCAACTCAATGTCACTCACATCAAGGGGTACCTCACCTGGCCCCTCCCCTCCCAGCCATTCCTTCTCACCCCCAGCCTCAACTTATCTATAATTGTGTAAAAATGTTGTTCACCTTTTTTGACTTTATTATCTGCATACTATAGATGTACCTTCATGGACCACTGAAAGGAGGAAATGGCTCACATGCTTTACTCAAGAGGGTGATAGGCAACAGGCTTTTAAAGGGCTTCCACAAAGAAAGGAGGACAATGTATTTTCCAAAGAAGCAGAAGGCAAACAAGAAGCAATGGATGGAAACTGAACAGAGAGAAGCAACCTAAAACTAAGGAAAACAATTAACCAGTGGAACTGCCTGTCTCCAGAAGTTCTGGGTGCTCCAACACAGGAAGTTTTAAAGAAAAGACTGGACAGCCATTTCTCTGAAATGGTATAGGGTTCACCCCAAGGTCCCTTCTAAGTATCATTCTGACACCTTTCCCAGGATTTCTACTCAGAGTTTGGCATCCTCAGTTCTCTTGCCTGAGCTGGAGGTTGGACTAGAAGACCTCCAAGGTCCCTTTCAACTCTTCTTAAACACATGTGTATTTTATGCTCTGGACTATTGACATTGAATGCATGTAAACCCTGAAAAATATGTGGTAGCCCTGGGCAAAAGAAAGGCAGAAAAATCACTCTAGGTGTAGGGACAGTGTAAAATATTATCACATGGTAAATAATGGAGCAATTAAAAATAATAGCACAGAGTTTTATCTCTCTCTCTCTCTTCCTATTTTTTCTTTCTTTCCCTCCCTCCCTCTCTCTCTCTCTCTTTCTCTCACACACACATACCGACACAGAGCACTTAACAGACGAGCATTTTGGAAACAGCTCCTTTAAATTTCTCCAAGGCTGGAGTGGATTCCCCCACCCCCTCTGTCAGACTGCACTCTTTCTCACTCCTGACGCTTTAACTCACACGGGGAAAGCGATACTTGCAGCGTCCATGCCTTTCTTCCTCCCCCCCGCCCCCCCGCCGAAAGAGGACGTGGGGAATGGAAAGCTAGGAGAGTGATCCGCAAGTGAGTGACCAGGCGATCAGGTTGGGGGCGTGGCCAGCCAGGGGTCAATGACCCATGCCAAATAACTGCTACCGGTTTGCTTGAGTAGGTGCCAACCGGCTGAATACCACCTCTGACTCGGGAGCAGCAGAGGTCCCCGAGAGCGGGCGGCCTCTTTGCAGTTCCCTGGGACGGGGAATGGCTGGACAAAACCAGCCATCGTCCTTGACATTCTGTGGCTCTTTGGTGAAAAGTCCTTCTGTCCCACTTTATTCAGGGGTGCTGAGGAAAATGGAGAGAGAAAGTGAAGATTTTATCAGAAGCTGCAAGGCAAATGTTCAGAGAGGTTGTAACAGACTGGGGGCAAATTGTGACTCTCATTTCTTTTGATGCCTTCATTGCCAAACGTTTAAAGAGCATAAATCAGGAAAGCAGCACCGACACTTTGGCAGAAACTATCAGAGACATGCTGGTGACAGACAAAAGAGAGTGGCTGCTGCGTCACAACTCCTGAGTAAGTGAGAAACTCCTGGCCTTCAAGCCGCCTTTCTGAAGCTGCCAGGTGCTGCTGCCGCTGTCGCCAGTGTCTAAGCCATTAGTGGTACTGTTCTTTTTTTTTTTTTAGGAGGGCTTGGTTAAGTGATTCCATTTTGAAGGAAGCATCAGAAACTTTCTGGTGGCTTTTGCAACATAGCTGGTCTAAGAGCAAGCTTGGCTCGTTCGATCCCTCCAGGTGGAGCCCCCTTGAACTTCTCTGTTCCTGCTGCGAATAGAAAATGGAGCTAAAAGGACTGAAGCCCCACACAGCTTGTGTTCTTGGTCCTGGACTGCCTTGGCCACTTTCTGGGTGGTTAGAGAACTGATAACAGTAACAAAGAGTTAGATCTCCTGCACATCACAGCTAGAAGTTAGGAATAGGGATAAACCTGGAGCAAATAGAATGTGTATTAGATAACTTCTGAAGCATTCGTTAGGCGGCTAAATCCAAGAGAACAATTGTTAGATCATTATTAAAATGTTTATTACATTTCTTATATATCCTGCCTTCTGCTTTAGTGAAATTGTATAAAGCAGAAGTGATATTCAGCAGGTTCTGACCAGTTCTGGAGAACCAGTAGCGGAAATTTTGAGTAGTTCAGAGAACCGGCAAATCCCACCTCTGACTGGAGATTTTATAGTATCCCTTCCCTGCCACACCCACCAAGCCACGCCCACAGAACCGGTTAGTAAATTCTTTTGAATCCCACCATTGGTATAAAGCTTTCTTTTAAAAAAAAAAGTTATTATTTTTTACAACAAACATGAACAAAACATAAAAACATAAAACCATCTTTCAATTATATACATGCAGTGTGTCAGTTGGTTACAATCTTTTTTTACTCACATGTTATATAAATTCTCACCTTATCGGTCTAGCTTGTGCTTATATAATATCAATTATTAAACATTCATTTGACTATTTTTCCATCATTTTATACGAGATATTCTAATTTTCATTATGATTTAATCTTATACATTCATCCAATGGTTATATATTTTATATTGTATTCTATATCAATCTATTAACTTTTATTTTAAGGCTTAGTAGTCTATTTCTTTACCATATCTTTTTATCTAACCATTGATAAAATAAATCCCATATCATATAAAATTGCTTATCCTCTTGTTCTCTAATTTCAAATGTCAATTTACTCATTTTGGCACAGTCCATGATTTTCTTAATAATTTCCTTCTGCATAGGTATTTTTTCATTTTTCCAGTTCTTAGCAAATACAATTCTAGCCTCTGTTAAAACACTTACAATCAAATATTTCAATTCTTTACAATATATTTCCGGTATAATTCCCAATAAAAATATCTCAGGTTTAAAGTCTATGTGTTGTTTTGTCATTTTTCCCAACCATGTGTGGATTATAGTCCAATATCTTTTTGCATCTGGGCATGTCCACCACATGTGATAATATGAACCAGATATCTGATGACATTTCCAACATTTATCCGATTTATCCTTGAACATCCTGGCAATTCTTGTCAGGGTAAGTGCCACCTGTAAAACATCTTATACAAATTTTCTTTATACGCAGTTGACATTGTCATTTTATAATTTTGAGACCAAAATTTTTGCCATTTATCTAAGTCAATCCCATATCCGAAATTTTTCCCCATGCAATCATTGTTTCTTTTACTTGTTCTTCCTCTAATTTAAACTCTAGCAAATGTCCATAAAGTTTTTTTATTACTTTTTCATCAGTACCTGTCAAAATGTTATCTAAATCAATCAACTTGTCATAGATACCTTCTGTTTTAACATCTTTATCAAATCTAGATTGTATTTGCAAATATGAAAACCAATTCATTTTTACACCTTGTTCTTCCAACGCTTGCATAGATTTAAGTTCACCCTTTTCATTCAGTATCTCACCATATCTAACTGTTTGTTCCTTTTTATATATTATTGGATAGGAAAAAGCTTCAATAGTAGATAACCATAGTGTAATTTTTAAATAATATTGCTTTTTTATCTTCTCCCAGTTTAGAAACAATGCTTCTTGAATATAGTGTCTTCTAAAATACCCCTGCGTTTTAGTTCCCTTATACCAGAGGAAGGCATGCCACCCTAACAGCAAGTCATGTCCTTCTAAATTCAAAAGTCTAGTATTCCTTAATGTTATCCACTCCTTTACCCACATCAGACTTGTCGCTTGGTAGTATAATTCCCAATTGGGCAAAGCAAATCCTCCTCTTATTCTTGCATCTTGTAACAATTTAAGTTTTATTCTCGCTTTCTTCCCCTGCCAAATGTATTAGCACTATTTTGTTTAAATCTTCAACAAATTCTTTCCCTAATCTGATTGGAATTGTCTGGAATAAGTATAAGATTCTGGACAATACATTCATCTTAATTGTAGATATTCTCCCAAACAGTGATAATTGTAAATTTTCCCATTTCATCAAATCTGTCACAATCTGTTGCTTAAGTTTGAGATAATTGTCCTCCTTAAGTGTGCTACATCTTGGTGTTATATGTATCCCTAAATACTTTACCTTGTTTGTGACCTGGATCCCCAAAACTTCCTCTAATTCTTTCTTTCATCTTACTAACATGTTCTTTGCTAAAATCTTTGTTTTATCTTTATTTATTTTCAAACCTGCTACTTTCCCATACTCTTCTATCTTTTCTATCAGTTTAGGTGCAGACTCCAATGGATCCTCTAATATAAATACCAGGTCATCTGCAAAAGCTTGTAATTTATACTCTTCTTTTTAAATTTTCATTCCTTTTATTTCTTTTTCTTCTCTGATGTTCCTATTCAGCACTTCCAGCGTTAACACAAACAACAGAGGCGACAGTGGACAGCCTTGTCTGGTCCCTTTTCTTATATCTATAACATCCGTTAACGCTCCATTTATCATAACCTTTGCAGTTTGTTTATG